GCAGAACCACAGAGGTCTCCAATGCCCCACACAGGAAGGGGCCCCCGGAGCTGGAGCCCTCCGCTGTGGGGGAGGGTAAGGACATGATAGAGTCCATCTTCTCCCCCCTTTTCCGTTCCCCGAAAGGCCACACATTTTTCCCCAGGCTCTGGACACCCTGCCTTAACTCTGCAAACCCCTAGGGTGTGTGCGGCCCAAACCCCACCCCTGGCCCAGTCCAGCCCCCTCCCTGCCCCTCAGGGGTTTTCTCTCACCCACACAGCACGCTTGGCAGCCTTTGGTGTCCTGGATCTTGGTGGAGACCATGTTCTTCCTGCAGAAGAAGGTACGTGGGAATGGAAGGTAGGCAGGGAGAGGGGATTTTGGGGGTCTGAGGTACCACTGGGGGCTTGTACCTTGCGAGTAGCCGGTGAGGACTAATGTGAGAGATGGGGCTTCCTGCTCTGGTCTCTTTCCTTTCCAGCAGGCCCAGGATGCTATGAGAATACAGGTGGGGGGTCTTTCCTGCAGTGGGTGTACACACAGGAAGCAGGCAGTTACAGGACACTGGACACTCCCACCTTTCCAGGTAGCTTCACTCGCCCCATCACGTTCTCTGAAATTCACAAACCTTGAAGCCTTAAGCACTTTTCACCTGTGTTTTTTTAAAAAATATATTTTTTATTGATTTCAGAGTGGAAGGGAGAAGAGAGAGACACACATCAATGACGAGAGAGAATCATTGATTGGCTGCCTCCTGCACACCCCACACAGGGAATTGAGCCAGAGTATGTACCCTGACCGAGAATTGAACCACGACCTCCTGGTTCATAGGCTGATGCTCAAGCACTGAGCTATGCCAGCAGGGCTCACCTAGCATGTTTTAAACACCCACTATAAGTCAGGCACTGTGCTTGGCACTGGTAACAGTGACAAGTGAAAGAAATACGTTCCTTGCCCTTTGGTGCTTGTAGTCACATAAGAACTATGGACCCTTAACTAGCCAGATGAAGTTATACACATTGCAAAGTTTAAGAAGAAACCTATCTAGAAACTTTTAAGTTTGTCATCACAGATATTAATTAGCTCATGAATCCTATTTGGTTTGGAGATTCCCCACAAATTAGAAATTATTTTACACAAAGTGTTTATAAAACAATGACAGCCCACAAATTAGAAATTCTTTACACAAAGTGTTTATAAAATTAAAACAAATTTTAATCTATAACTTGCTCACTCTATTTTAGTAGTGTGGGCTAAGTTCTAATTCTCCTCTGAACATCAAAGAATGGTAAAGACTAACTTATTGTAGAAATTCCCTCAAAACTGACTTGAGAGGTGGGGACTGGGAGATGGGGAAACAGACTCAGGGAGCAGATGTCTCCTGCCCCAAGTGAGAGTGACTGGGATTGAACCTCAGGCTCCGTGAAGGGGAGTCTAGGCTTTTATCAGCTGTGCCTGTCTACCTCCCAACCTACCGACCCTCAACCCCTTCCCATCACCCCCCACCCCTGATGGCCAGACCTGAGAGAGACATGAGGACATTGTTGATGGAGTACACCCAGGTCGTCCGGCTAGGAAAGAGCTGCAGAGAATGGGGGAGACGCTCCTGTTGTACCTCAGCCATCCCCAGCTCCAGCCCCTGCCCGCAGCCCACCCTGGGAGCTGTCCTTCACCATCTCCAGCGTGGCCTCCTGATCATTCCGGTTCAAGATGAAAATGCCTTCCTCTGCCCCTAGGATCAGGTGCTGATCTTGGAGGAAAGACACAAGGACACTGGGACCTGCCTTATCCTGGGGGACCTCCCAAACCCCCACCTGTCTGATCCCAAACACTGTCTCCCAGCCCTGACCCTCAGCTCTCTAACTCTCACCCCCACATCAATACTCCCGGCCTGTCCCCAAATCTGAACTGAACCCCGATCCCATCCCTCTAACTGGTCTCATTCACACCTTCCTCTGACTTCCCACATTCTGGTGGTTCTCCCATCTCTGCCCCACAAATCCTGACCCTCTGTCCCCTCAGTGCTGACCAAACACTAGACATGCCTCTCCAAACAGCCTTCTAAATCCTGTTCCTCTTTTTTTCCTCCCTAGTTCTGGTCCCTGAAGGCTAATCCTGTCTCAGCTTTGATCCTCAAACTCAGGCCCTCTTAAATATAATATGGCTTTTTTCTGTTCTGTGTGACACTCCCCAAACTCAGTGCTTTTTCTTTAACCTCTCACTGACCTTGTCTCTACATCTTTGATCCCCAAACTCTATCCCTTTCTGCTATAATCTAATCCCCAAAACTCCTAATCCCAAAATGCTGATCTTAGTCTCTTTACCATTAGTCTCCAACTGAGGTTAATGGAGTTAATGGGGTCCAACTGTCCCCCATCTTGTATCCCAAACTTTGACCTTTCTGCTGTATCTAATACTCATGGCCCCCAATCCCTAATATTGCTAGTTTTTGCTCTCAAACTCATCTTCAAGCCAACCATCTTTGATCTCCAAATCCCACTGTAGCTCCAGGCTCTTTCTCTGCCTCAGCTTGGCCACTCGGCACCCTATTAAGACCCTCCCTGGTCCCTGACTTTGTACCTTCCATTACGGTCCCTCCCCATCCCACCATGTTCCCTGTTACCCTCCTGAATGCCCACCCTTGGTGGAGGGGTGTGTCCAGGCGGCTGTGCTGTGGATCCGGAGGGGGCAGCCATTGAACAACTTTACAAGAAGGGCACATCCCTGGGCAGGTCATGGGGAGCAGAGCAGGAGATCCAGCAAAAAGAAGGAGTGGACAGAAAGTGCAATGGTTAAAGCTCTGGAGCAAGAGTGCCAGGGTTCAGATTCTGCCTCTCTGCCTCCCCAAAGGTTTATGACCTTGGCAGGCTACAGAACTCTCTCTACCTCAGTTTCCCCTCTGTGAAATGGGAGACAATATCTACCTCTATCTGTAAAGGTTTACACCATGTAAAGACATGAGGTCAGTATCTGGCACAGAGGAACTGCTCCACAAATGTCACATATCATTATTAGTCTTCCCACCCCCACCCCACCCCGAATCCCCAGGCCCATCTAGAGGTGTGAGTCCTCAGCATAGCTGTCCTCACCTTTCTCTTCATCTTTTCCTTCTTGGGGGGCAACAGTGGGGGCTGGTCAGACTGCTGAGGGGTTGGGTTCCAGAGTGAGGGCTCTGAGACAGGATGGGGAATAATCAGTCCCCAAAGCTCCCCCACCCCTCTACCCACCTCCCACCCTATCCTGCCCTGTTACCTGAATGGGCAGTTAGATGGGGACTCCTGGTGGCTGGGGGAGGTCCAACATGGGGGGTGCGTGGGGGAGGCCCACTGGCACACCGGACCAGCACCCCCGGGCTCAGCTGCCCCTCCTCCCCAGGTCCCCCGGAACCCTCATCCGATGGAGAACGGAACTTGGGCTTTGGAGACAGAGAAGTGGGGCAGGTAGTACATTAGATGATCTCAAAGAGAGAGGGCACCCTGCTATCCCAACCCTGCCTAGGCTACAGCGGAAATGTGGTCATAGCTCTGACCCTTCCCACAACTTCCTACCACCACTCCAACTTTCCCCTCCATCCCCACCCCATCAATACACTCCAGCAACTAAAGGATTAATGCTGGGTAACCAGCTACTGACCAGTGTCCATCAGGCTAAATATTTTGAGGCACACCTGTGGATTCATGAATGCCACTCCCATACCCCAATATGCTCATTGTCCCATCTCCCAGATTTCAAAGGACCTGGTATCCCAGACTACAGCCCTAGAATGCCCAGTATCCCAGCATCTAAGGACTCTAACCTCCTGGCCTCCAGCCCCCCAGCTCTTGACTAAGACCTCACCTTGGGGGGCAGTGGAGGAGGTGTGTCCTCTGAAGGGGTAGGGCTGAAACACAAAGACAGGGTAAGCAGGTAGGAGTGTGGGAAACAAGGATGGAGTGGTTTGGGGCTGCATGTCTGAGGTCAGAAGGGTCAGGGGTGACTCAGTCTGTGATGGAGCTGAGGACTAAAGGACTAATTAATAATCATGATGACAGCCCAGCCTGTGTGGCTCAGTGGTTGAGCACTGACCTATGAACCAGGAGGTCATGGTTTGATTCCAGTCAGGGCACATGCCCGGGTTGTGAGTTCAATCCCCAGTAGGGGATGTGCAGGAGACAGCTGATCAATTATATATATAATAATCATGATGACAATAACAACAGCAACTTTGGAGATCAAGTGCTGACAAGGTGTCAAGTCTAAATCTTCATAGCCACCTACGACACAGATCATCTGAGCTCCTGTGGCTTAGGTTCCCACATGGTTCCTAGTGCCACATATGAGCCCATTACAGACATGATGGGAGCCCTGAGGCTGACACTGGGCCTGTGGGCTGGGGGCTGATGGCTGGGGTTGAGGTTGGGATCTGGGGCCCAGGGTCTAGTCTAACATGGGGAAAATTCCCAGGGGCCAAGGTCCAGTCAGGTTTTGTGAGATGAGGAAAGATGAAGGCCTGTGGTTGAGGGTTGGGGCTGCAGTTGAAATCTGGAGGTTGGAGCAACATCTGGGAGGAGTTGGGGGCTGGGAGGTGGCAGAGGGTCCAGGGCTGAGCCGGATAGATGGGGAAAGAGCCCAGGCTGGAGCAGGACATTCTGGAAGGAACTGGGGTTGAGGGCAGGCGGGGGCTGAAGTTGGGGGTCAGATCAAAAGTCCTATAAAAAGTTGGAAGGAAGGTGGGCTTGGGAGTCAAGGGTCTGAGGTGAAGGAAGTTGAAGGGCTGAGTTTGGGCGGGGCTAGGGAGAGATAGAAACATCAATGAAGGAGAGTGGGGGCCGAGCTAGGAGTCAGGTTGGGGTCATAGGTTGGGAGTGAAGGAAGATGGAGGCTCCACTGAGGGCCCAGTAAGGGGTCAGGGATGAGTGGTGGGAAGAAAGTAGGGGCTGAGGTAGGGGTCAAAGCAGAAACAAGGCAGGGGCTGCAGGAAGGCAGGGGCTGGGTGAGGGCCTGAGGAGCTGAGGGCCCGGCCTCTCTTACATGTCCACGTCATCGTAGTCATCATCAGACTCCGACAGGTGCCTCCTGAGGAGTGACAGGCATAAGCCTCAGGTAGTTCCCACATATATCCTAACCCCCTCCCCTCCCAGCCTTAGGGTCCCTGACCTAGGACTGCTGCTCCTGAAGTCTTCAGGGGGCTGTAAGAGAGCCTGTGGAATAGTAAAGGGTCAGCAGTAGCCTATGTCAGTGGTCGGCAAACTGCCGCTCGCGAGCCACATGCGACTCTTTGGCCCCTTGAGTGTGGCTCTTCCACAAAATACCGACTTCTGTGCATGGGCCACGAAGTTTCAATCGCACTGTACATGCACGCCCGCAGTTTGCCGACCACTGGCCTAGGTGAAGGGGAGGGTGTTTGGGGCCAGACAGATGGGGGAAGGGGCATCTCACAGTGTCAGCTGCAGATCTGGACTCCATTGCTCTGAGCTTCCTGAATTCCATGTGCCGTCCTGGAAGTTGGGGGTGGGAGGTGAGGTAACACACAGTGAGCTGGGGAGATGGATTCAGAAATAGACTAAAATTGTGGAGTTTGGGGTCAGCACCTTAGGATTGGAGCTGTTACTTAAAGGAAAGTATCTTGGTTTGCAGGGGTCTCACTTGGGTTTGGGATTAGGGAGGTAGGGGCTAAGGTAGTGATAGAGTGTTCCGTTTCAGGTTCCACTGAGTATCAGGGGTCTGCCATATTTCTGAGGTCTCTTTGGGAGTCAGGGTGGTAATGGGAAGGCTGAAGGGGTCTGTTTGCAGGTCAGAGCAGTGGGGCCTCTAGAGTCACCTTGTAGGTCAGGTAGTAATGAGGTTCTCTGGGGTCTCTGGGGGTCTGTTTGGAAGTGATGAGTGATATAGGAGTGAAGGGGGTCTCTTGAATCTATTATAGGGTCAAGTGTTCCCAAGTTTGAGGCCTCTCTACTCACGACAACAATCTGCATCTGGAATCCCCAGCGAGCTGGATCGGTGGGTGGATTTGATCCGCCGAGGGATGGCAGGGGGTGGCTGGGCAGAGTGGCAGCTGTGTCAGGCCACGCCCTTCCAGCAGCCCCACCACCCTGTGGGCCCAGCCTGGAGCCCTTGTCCCTCCCATAACCCATGTGCCCCCAGCCCTGTGCCAAGCCCACCATCCTCCCTCCCATTTGTCCTTGCAAGAGCAGCAGCAGGAAGTCACTCCAGGCAGGTGGCCTGGCCTGAGCAAAGGCTGGGAGGTTCCAGGAATTCTGTCTGCCAGGACCCCTCACCTCAGGCTCCTCATCTTCAGTCTCACCAACAGGAGTCCCCTTCCCTGGGTTCCTCAGTTTGTCAAGAAGATCCAGGATCAGGCCTCTATTTAGCCCTGGCTGGGATACCAGTTGATGCTGAGGGAGGAGAGGAAGGTGTCAGCAGGCAGACAGCTGGTGTGAAGGGAGAGGTTGGAACAGGGGCTGGAGAGCCTGCCTAGGGGAACAGAGGAAGAAAGCAGGAAACTCTGGGAACTGGCAGAAGACCGGAGAATGCTGAGGGGTCTGAAGACACTAACATAATTCAAGGATCCTGGTGTGGGGCTGGGGGAATTCCATTCCAGTGTACACCCAGGAATGGGTGTTGAGGCTCCTGGGAATTTTTGAGTTTTAACAACTCAAGGTGTCTTGGGAAAGGGTTTGGTTACAAGTTGGAGGGTCTTAGGGGGCATCATGGGGAATTCTGAAGGACTAGGGACTCTGAGAGGGCCATGGGGCTCTGTGGAACTAAACCAGCAATTTTCTAGAGAGCCATGTGGCCCTGGGGAATTCTGGGGTGAGAGTCTGGGCAGGGTTTGGGGGAGGAGCGGTTTACACTGAGCATCTTGGTGGCGCTGGGTCGTTTCTTGGCGTTCTTGGTAAGGGAGACTTTAACAAAGTTGTGGAAGGCAGCAGACCTTGGAAGAAAGAAGCCAAGTTCTGGGGTGAGGGGACCAGAGACCAACCAGACCATCAACCCCGGCTCTGCCCTCCCTCTCATCACCTCCTCCTACCATTTGCCTTTTTCCTTTAGCCGGGGAGGCTGATAGCCACTCTTGGTCATGAGGAAGAGAACTCTACAAGAATAAGGAGAGTGCGTGGAGTCCAGACTCCCAGTGGCGGCCAGAGGGACCCTCAATAGCACCAAAGTCAGCAGAGAGCAAGTGAGGGGCAGAATGAGAATGAGGCTTAGGTTTGACTATGCACTGGGTTGCCACTTCCAGGGGACACCACATTTCACATTATAGAGCTATGTGAGTCGCAGAGGGAGGCTCAAGATGGGGGTCCCTGAGTTGGGGGTTCCTGGTGTGGAGGACTGAAAAGGCTTTCTGAGTTGAGGGAATCCTTGGGGGTCTCAGACTGGGTTTGCAGGAAATGGGGGCTCTCCTATAGGGGAATCTTGATGTGGGGAAACAGACTGGTGGGGGTGCTTAGAGTCAGGGCTGGGCCCTGGGGGGCGGGGGGGCAGCGACACCTGCTTACCTGAGAGGGTGCACATCAAAGAGCGGTGGCTGTAGCTCTGCTAGTTCTATGGCTGTGATGCCCAGAGACCAGATGTCACACAGCTCATTGTATCCCCCCTTCAGGGCAACGGCAGCCACTTCTGGAGCCATCCTGGGGGCAGAGACCCTCAAGAGCCAAGGGTGACATAAAGGAGGGGGAGGGGAGTGGTGTGGGGAGTGGGGGGAGAAGAGATACAAAAAGAGAGAGGAGAATGGAAAATAGAGAGAACCAGGTGCAGAGAGAATCAAAGATGGAGAGAAAGAGAGAGATAAGAAATCAGACTGAGAGAGACAGAGAGAGATAGGAACAGAGACAGGGCCACACTAAGACAGAAAGAAGACAGACAGGGAGAGATCAGGATAAAAAATCAACACAAACACTAATTAAAGGGAAAACTCAAGATAGAGAGCTGAAGGGAAGATAGAATATTCAACAGAGCAAGGCAGAGGCTGGGAGAAGGAGCCAGAAGAGTCTGAGAGATGGGGATGGGGGGAAGGGGCGGGGACTGCTGCCCCTCACTCTACCCCTAGCTGCCTGCCAGGCACCCCTCACCAGTAAGGTGTCCCAATGAAAGAGAGGCGTCGAGCCAGCGTTGCCCCGATCTGAGCTGAGATACCAAAGTCAGCTGGAGGCAGAGGGAGAGACAGTGACCTAGGGTCCTCTCGGGCCCCTAGCCAGTCCACCTCCTCAACCCCCAGCCACACTTACCCAGTCTGACCTCCCCAGAGTCATTGATGAGGATGTTGGCTCCCTGGGGACAGAGGAGAGATTAGAGGCTGTCAGAGACCACCACCCCTAGCCTCTCCCCCTTGGCCCCACAGCTCAATATCACCCTGAGCCCTCTAAATACCACTCCCATCTCCTGCCGCCCCCCCCCGCCCCAAAGCCACCTTTCTGCCCCTAGACCACCTTAATGTCCCGGTGTATCTTCTTCTGTGAGTGCAGATAGGCCAGTCCCTGGGGAGGGAGGTAAACAAGGAGGCTGTGAGAGCCTGGGGGCTGGAGCAGGGACCTGCCCCCACCCAGGCCTCTCCTCACCTGGAGAACTTCTCGGCAGACGTAGCTGATCTGGAGCTCTGACAGGGAGCCTGTCACTGCAAAGGTCACCCGAGCACAATGTTGTCTGGGAATTAGGAAACCTGGCCCAAGAGCTCCTGGTCCCCGCCCAAACTGTCCGAGAGGGTACCATGTGAGGAGTGGGATACAGGCACGGGATGAGACAAGTGGGAGGGGCGACCAATGGGTGGTCAGCAACAGAGAGAGGCAGCAGGGAACCAGAAGCCAGATGGACAGAGATTCATTCAACAGACATTTACTGTGTGTTTACTGTGCGGTAGGCACTGGGGACACAGCTGTAGACGAAAAAGACAGATCCCTACCCTCACAGAGAGAACATTCCAGTGGGGAAGACCAACAGTAAACCAGATAAGGAGGTAAAATATACAGTACGCAAGATGCTAATAAATAATAAGAAAAAGCAAGAAAGAATGAACAGGAAACGTGTGGGAAGGCTACGACATTTTACTCAGGCTGGTCAAGAAAGGCCACTCTGTGAAGGTAACAGGATGAAGATGTGAGCAGTCCTGCTTGGAGGGGGGACAAAAGCCAGTGCAGACCTGGGAGGCGGGAGGTGCCTGGTAGGTCTAGAGAGCAGCAAAGTAAGTGGAGCCTCAGGGAGACAAGATGAGGCCGTTCAGCATGGGGTGCAGTGGTGTCAGACTGATGGGCCACGATAAGGAGCTTGGGATTTTCAGAGGGAAATGGAGGCTCTGGGAGGGCTCTGAGCAGGGGGTGATGGGACTTTTCAAAATGAGGAAAGGCAGAGAGACAGAGACAGACAGACAGAGAAGCGGGAATAGATCCAAAGTGAGACAGAGAAAGAAAGATGGTCAGAGACCAAAAAGTGAGAAGACAGACATACTGAGAAAGAGAGACACAGGGTGGAGAGGGAACAACAGAGAAAGGCAGACAGAGACCAGGTCTGACAGTCTTGCTGTCTGAGTCATTTCTTCTCTGTGGGCCTCAGTTTCCCCCTCCCCCCCAAGGACTTCTTAATGGAGTCCTTCCTTTTCTAACACTTGAGGTGTTAGGATGGAGGGAGACAGGGAGATGGTGAAAGAGAGAAGTGGGCATCAGAAGTCGAGAGGTGATCACAGGCTACTCCACCCTACCCTCAAATTCTCCAAGAGAAAAATAGACAAATAAATAAGAATAAAATAAAAAAATTCTCCAAGAGAGTGAAAGCAGGATGAGAGAATCACTCGTTCAGTGAAAATGTGGGCACCTCCTATGAGCCAGAAATGCAGAAATACTCAAACATGAATAGACCTTGGTGAGAAAATGCAGGCACAGAGGAAGCTGGGAGAGGGAAGTAGAGGAGATCATTGCATGCAGACAGATTGGGGCTGTCAGGTCCTGGTGGGGAGGGCCCAGGGCCAAGGGCCCGGGGGAAAAAAAAATATGTAAAATAGACCAGAATAAACAGTTACAGGACCCACAAACACAGACAGACAGGAGAGGTGGATTGGAGGGGCAGAGGCTGCCTGGGTCCCTTGCCCTGCTCTCACCTTGGTAGATGTCCTGAAGAGAACCAGCCCCACAGAATTCCATGCAGATCCAGAGCTTTTGCAGCCTACAACAGTTCAACAGCAGTAATAATAATAATAGCAGTGATAAATTATTATTTATTGGACAGCCTCTGGCTCATTGTCTTGTTCTGACATATTTGGGTTTTTTAATCCTCACCAGAGGATATATTCACTGACTTTTACAGAGGGGGAAAAGGATATATATATATATATATATATGTATATATATATATATATATAGAGAGAGAGAGAGAGAGAGAGAGAGAAAGAGGGAAACATTGATCAGTTGTCCCCCCCACACACATGTGCCCTGACCCCTGGCCAGGGACTAAATCGCAACCCAGGCATGTGTCCTGACCAGGAATCACACCCATGACCAGTGCACGGGAGGATGCTCGAACCAATTGAGCCAAACCAGCCAGGGCTCTGATCTTTTAATGTAACAGCAGTCATCTCTAACTTTTCTTGCCCACAGAGTGAAATTATCCCACTTCCATTTTATAGATGGGGAAGTTGAGGCTCAAAGAGGAAATGTATGTTCAGATCAACTGGACTCAAACCCACGTCTTTGGCTCCTGACCTAGGGCACCCTCTGCTGTCCCATGCTAACGTAGAAGATAGGGTAGAGATCTCAGAGGTTGAGGAAGTTAGAGGGGACACAGAGGCCCAGGGTGCCAGGTCTGAGGGACAGAGTCATTATTGGGGCATCTGGGGTATTAATGTGGGGGACAGGTAATTCAGGGGTTCATATTAAAAGAGCAGAGAGTGAAACTGGGGGAACCAAAGCACAGGATGAAAGGTTAGTTTAGGGAACTTAGTTTCAGATTTGGTTACTATGAAGAGGTCGATTTGGGGACCCCTGGTCAGAAATGGGAGTTCTGAATGAAGGTTAGATTAGGGGATGTTCCGGTGAGAAATGCAGAACTTTGGGCTGGGGATTAAGTTAGGGGTAACTCAGTTAAAAGGAGCGCCCAGGATAAGAGGGTCGGGGTACCCTGGTCAGGATGGGGGTCATGGATGGGGGCAGGTCTTAGGTCATCACCAGAGATAACTCCCGTGGTAGGCCACAATGTTGGCGTGCCGGCAAGTTTTCAAGATGAGGATTTCCTTCTGAAGGGTGGAAACATCATCATCTGCAAAGAGGCCAGGAGAGAAAATCCCACTGCAGGGAAGGAGTATGCGGGCGAGCCCGGTGTCCTAGGAAGTTGGGGTGGGGTGTGGGGAAGGATCTCCTGGGACCTCTCCTCACCAGGCTCCATCTTCACCATCTTCAGTGCCACCAGGTCCCCCGTCACCTTGTCTCGAGCCTTGTAAAAGGGAAGTTGACAGTCAGGCTGTCTCCATTCCCCCGAACTCCTCTTCAGCATGCCTGAGCCAGCATCAAAGACTGGGACCCTCTCTCATCCCCTCCCCTTCTTGGGCTTCACCACAAAGGCCACTGGTTGGAGGGTGATGGAGAAGGAAGGGGGTCCTCACCTTGAAGACTTCTCCATAGGTGCCACCACCCAGCCGCTGCAGCAGGTCGTAGTGGTCCCGAGGGTCCCTATTAAATATGTCGGGGCCCACGAGGTCCATTCCTGGGAGCCGGAGCTGGGCCTCCGCCCAGGGGCCAGCAGGGCCTCAGGGCTGGAGTGCTGGCACCTCCCTCCCTCCCCACACACCCTGCACCCGCCTTGCCTCCACCGGCTGTGGCCTCCCCCTTCCCCGCTCTCGTTTCCTGCCCCAGCGCAGGGCTGTGCAGCCAGCTCCACCCCCAGTCCCCTGGGCCCTGAGAGCCTGTTGGGACTGCTTGCTTTGGGACCCACGGGACCCCTCTCCACCTTCAGGGCCCTGGACAGAATGTAAATCAGATGCAAACTATCTTAAGTGTGTCCTGATGGGTACCTCGGCACCCCTGCCCCCATTCTGGGTGGTGGCTAAAAACCACAGTTGAACCTCTGCTGAGTGCTTGAGGGTTTGGCCACAGCCCAGAGATGGCAGGTCTGCACAGGGAGCCGGAGCTGGGCCTGATCATTCAGTGTACATCACTGCTCACCTTGGGCACAGACATGCACTTAGTCGTGGACCCCCTGTGTGGTGTGCAGACCAACCCAACGTGCACATGCCTGGATACGCATGTGCACACATGTGGTGTACCTAGAGCCCAGAGCACATACCTTCACATATATAACACATGCCTGTGCATTCATGCCTGCAGTGTTTAGAATCTGTATCCACATAACCTATGATGACACACATGGAGAGCTCGCTTTCACCCAACATACTGTAGTCTGTGAACTGGGTGCCAATCTGCGGGATTCAGGGGTCCCTCATCCCTGTCCCTCCTGGGCAGACCATCCCAACAGCTTTGCGGGCCCCTCCCCCTAGAATTAGGGTTGAGCATGGGGACCAGTTTCAGGCTTTTGAAACTATGGAGCTCAGGATCCCGCGGGGGGCCCAAGGCCTGGGGGAAAGAGGCCGTCGGAGCTTGGATCACGGCTCAAATGGAAGGCTACTACGTGCATCCCAACAGTTTTGTAAGTTCAATACGGCGAACAACGCGACCTGCGCGCACCCCGTCGGAGGTCCGCCTCCTTCCTAGCCAGCTCGCGCGCACGGCCTGAGGACTAAAGCGCGACGCCCACGAACTGCTTAGCCCCGCCCCTCGCCCCGAGACGGCGCCAGCGCGTTGGCTCCGCTAAGCTTTTAGTCTCGCTGATGGTCCAGTTCGGGTGGGGAAGGTGCGCACGCGCCGACGGAGCCCGCTGGGAAGAAGTCACGTGGCAGCCGGAAAGCGCGGCAGCCACCGCGAGAACCTTCCCCCTTCAGCGCCTCAGGGCTGGAGGAAAACAGCGACGTAGTTTCCGTTTCCGCCACCTCTTCCTCTTCCGGTCCCCTAGGGCGCCGCACGGCCGGTACCGCGGCTCCATCCCCCGAGAGGGAAGCGACCGCAGGCATGGCCATGTTTGAACAGATGAGAGCGAACGTGGGCAAGTTGCTCAAGGGCATCGACAGGTCTGAGCCTGGTCGGAGGGAGAGCTCTGGTCGAGCGGGTGGAGGAGAGCCTTTCCGCAGACCGCGAGGGCTGGCCAGGGTCCCGGGTTTGCGCGGGGTGGTTTCCAGTCTTCTGGAGGAGCTGTTTAAGGGGAACAGCGTTGCAAGCGCCCCGAGACGGGAGATTGCCTCGCCTTGTCTCCCCTCCTTAATTGTCCTAAGGCCTCTCTCTCAGCCCCTCAGTCTTCCTCTCACTGACAGTGCCTCTTCATCTCTACCTTCTTTTCCCATATCATTCATTCAACGCATGCTCCCAGTCAGCGCCGGGCAACGTTGGGGACCAGAAGTGACCAAGACAGCCGCTGGCCATGCTTTCATGAAGTTCCCAGTTCAGAGTCATGACAAAACCGTCAATAGATAGGGATAGCTGAGAGCAGTCAGAGCTGCGATGGGGGAAGCACAAGCAGATTGGTCAGAACTGCAATGGGAGAAGCTCGAGCGAGAGGATGGGGTGGAACAGGGGTGAGGCCTGGGTATGTGTGTCAAAGATGTCCAGGAGCCCAGGTATACAGGTTGCAATGACTGACTGACTGAGAGGTTGGGGAAGCATCCCAGGCATTAGACCCCTGGCTCCGATGGGATTTAGAGCTTAGGCTCAGGTCTGAGATATGGGTAAGATAAGAGAAGAAAAGGAGGAAGGAGGAGCAGGCTACTGTGCCCACCCCCCATCCTCAAGAAAAGTCACTGGCCTCAGTTCCTGTCTCCTCTCTGCTCATCCATCTTGCTTCTTCTCTAGATACAACCCTGAGAATTTGGCCACCCTGGAGCGCTATGTGGAGACGCAGGCCAAGGAGAATGCCTATGATCTGGAAGCCAACCTGGCTGTCCTGAAGCTGTGAGTGTCTGCCTCCAACCCCAACCCCTGCCAGTGGCCAGCGGGTACCACTCCCAACACGGTGGTACAGGAGTAGCATACAGCATGAAGCCTCTTTGGCATGCAAAACTAGGAATCCAAGGAAAGCAGGAGGATGGATGTTTTTAAAAATTAATTACAAAACACACATACAGGCTAGTACATAAAACAAATACAGTTGGCTCTCCATATCCACAGGATCCACATCAGTGGAAAGGTTGAAAACATTCCCCTAAAAAATGTGATGTTGCTGATGTATTGTGTAGTTAGACCTACTATGGTTATGTTTGTATTAAACATGTACAAACTTTTTTCTTGTTATTCCCTAAACAATACAATATAACAACTATTTACACGGTATATAATTGTATTAGGTTTTGTAAGTAATCAAGAGATGGTTTAAAATGTATGAGAAGAGCTCTAGCCAGTTGGCTCAGTGGATAGAGCCCTGGCCCGTGGCCTCAAGGGTCTTGAGTTCAGTTGCAGTCAAGGACACGTGCCTCAGATGCAGGCTCGATCCCCTGCCCTGGTTGGTGTGCAGGTAGGAGGCAACCAGTCAATGTGTTTCTCTCACATCAGTGCTTCTCTGTGTCTCTCACCCTCCCTTCTCTCTCTAAAATTCAATGCAAAGATATTCTCGGGTGAGGATTAACAAAAAAATAAAAGAATGTATGAGAGGACGTGCATCGGTTATATGTGAGTGCTACACTATCTTATGTAAGGAATTTGGGATTTGGTATGCACAGGGGGTCCTGGAACCAAGCCCTAAGTGGATACCAAGGGATTGCATATTGTTTAAGAAGTAATTATAAATTCACCCATATGATCACCATCCATATTGCAAAACTGAGTGTTGCTAGCAACTCAGGCCCTTTGCCCCACGTTTTATGCCAGCCACACCCACTGCCCACCCTGGTAATCACTCTTAGGTTCTAATGGCCTGACTTTATGTGAGTTTACCACACGTGCATCCTGATCATCTTAGCTCAGGATTGCCTGTTTTGAACTTGATACAAGGAGAGTCCTACAGAACAAGCTCTTCTGCATCTGACTGCTTCCCTTGAGCACTGGATTAATGAGGTTCATCCATTTTCTGTGTGGCTGCAGTTTTTATCCGTTTTCCTGTTAATAGACGTTTGGGTTTCGCCCCCTCAGTACTTCATTGGCACACAGCTGTGTAATTTTTATGATTCCATAGCTTCAGATTTAACATCTGTAAAATAGATGTATTTACAGGGTTGTGTAGGTTGTTATTGGTGATAATCACTACTTAGGGAGTATTCACCATGTAGTAGTTTGCTGTGGTATAAGCTTTGCATGTATTAACTCACTTAGATGCTGTATTGCCCTTGTGAGGTAGATGTGGTTGTAATTGCCCCCTTTTGCAAGGGAGGAAACTGATGCACAGAATTTAAAATAAGTCCATGGTCACTCAGCAGGGAAGTTTAAACCCAGGCATTCTGGCTCCAGAGCCCTAAACCACTATTTCAAACTTTTCTATGTACTCATTTATTTATGAATCACTTAACAATTAACAGTGTCTGTCTTACTGGGTAGTTGTGAAAATTAACTGTACTTGTCGACAGAGCAGGCAAGTAGGGTCAGGGAAGTCACATAGTCAGAGAATCTGTGGTTGGGACTGGAACCCAGGCATGTATAGTTCCCAGTCCCTGGGCCAAAGCAGTGTGTACCCTGCCTCACACCTGGTGAGGCTTCGGGGACCTGGAGATGTCACCTGTTGCTGTGTCTTTTGTTTCCCTTCTCAGGTACCAGTTCAACCCAGCCTTCTTTCAGACCACGGTCACTGCTCAGATCCTGCTAAAGGCCCTTACCAACCTGCCCCACACTGACTTCACCCTTTGCAAGTGCATGATTGACCAGGCCCATGTATCCTTCCAGTTCTCAGGCCCAGGTGTGTGTGGGAGGAGGCAGGGGCAAGAGAGATCATTTCACTGGGAAGTGGTCTGTGAGTTTAGTCACACTTGAGTGCCTGCTCTGGGCTTGGCCCATTGCTGGGTAGGGCTGGGGCCCTATGGTGGTTAAGACAGGCCTGTCCCCTGTTAGTGACAGCCTCCAATAGTCAGGGTTAGAGGGGCCAGAGGAGGCACCTGACCTTGCCTGGATGTTATTGCTTCCTGGAGGAGAGACCATCTGAAAGATGAGGAGTTAGGTGAAGTGGTAGGGAAGGTGTTCCAGGCAGAGGGAACAGTAGGGAGGCCTGGAGGAAAAGGTCAGCATAGCCGTGCCACAGCTTTCAAAGTGGAATTTGGAAGGGCACCAGGGAGCTGTAGAGTGATGGGGGTAGATTTATGCTTTAGAAAGATTCTCATGAGGATTCTAGTTGAGTAAAAACCACCTGGCCAGAGGCAGGAGGGGCTGGGCGCTGGGCAACAGGCAGAAGCCATGAATAGCTGGATTGTCGGCTAAACTTCATTTTATGTATCCTCATTGCCTACCTAGCACAGTGCTGGCCTTCAGTGAAAAGCTGTTGAGTGAAAAAATCAGTGAATTGGATTCCCCCCACTTCCCCTTGCTTTTTTGTAGCTGATCTAACACTTAGCTAGGAAAGCCTCTAACTTTCCTTTAATTACTTGAGAGACTTGGCAGAGTCTCCCAACCATGCTGAGCCCTATGCTCATAGTGATCACCATCCCAGGGTTGTCACAACTACTTGCCTCTTACTGGCTAAGCTGAGAAATGGCTGCTTACTCATTGAACCTGTTCTGCGAGGTGTGTCCATGGGAGTGCCTCCCTTCTGCGAGATTGTCCACCTTCTCCAGGGTTCTGTTCTGGTGGTTTTGAAAAAAATA